CCGTATAGCTTCTAGGGGCTACTGGGGGCCCTTCACATCTTCGTGGAGCCATTGGGAGCCACCATATAGATTCTGGGGGCCATCATGTAGCTTTTTGGGGCTCCTGTATAGCTTCTGGGGGCCATCAGCTTCTTGGGGCCACTGGGGTCCCCTGTATAGCTTCTGGGAGCCACCGTATAGCTCCTGGGGGCAACTAATTAGCTTCTGGAGGCCATCATATAGCTTCCGAGGGCCACTGGGGGCCACCATATAGCTTCTGGAGACCATAGTATAGTTTCTGGGGGCCCTTGTATAGCTTCTGGGGGCCATAGTATAGCTTCTGGGGGCCCCCGTATAGCTTCTGGGCGCCACCGTATAGCTCCTGGGGGCCACAGGGTTTCCTGTACAGCTTCTGGGAGCAACAGTATAGCTCCTGGGGGCCACTAATTAGCTTCTGGGGGCCAACATATAGCTTCTGGGGAGCACAGTATAGCTTCTGGGGGCCACTTGGTGCCCCTGTATAAATTCTTGGGGCCACTGGGGGCCATCATATAGCTTCTGGGGGCTTCTGAAACCTAATAATTAATGTATTTTGTCAGGTTTCACCAAAATCCTCAAATATGGGGGCTGTCAGGGGGGGGGGGTTAAATTAATTAAGTTATAATTTTTCTAAACAAATTCATGCGACTATTTATCTCTAAAGCAAAGGGAGAATAACTTCCTTTTAACTCATTATGAATGTGAAATGTAAAAACCTCATTATCAAGTGATGTTACCATAGCATCTGAAATGTTAGAAATATTACATAAACCATATGATGAATCATCTTCACTTCTAATCATGCTATATACTTCAGATGCTTTAAGAATCAAGAATATGAAGAATATGATGAAAATCAGACTATATGTATACTATTTATATGAATCATTGAAAGTGCATGGTAAATTATAAGATTGGATCTTTAATATACAGGGTCGAGATAACCGTTTTGACCCCTGTGAATGATAGTCAAAATGCATGTAACCTTTCCACATACTTATTAGTTCAGTTCAATACATGCACATTTTTACTCAATAAGATTGAAACAACTATGGTTGTTACTTTTTTTGTTAATTTAATATTCTTTTTATAATTGTCAAACAATGACGTTCACAGTAGCTGCCTCCAAAGCTGGATAATTTTGTTAATTCTGATCCAATTTTGAAGATTTGTTGTCTCTTTAATGTTGCTTATATCTTCCACTCATCAAATAAGGGACAAAACTATGCACACATTCTGGAATACGGCCTCAGTTCTAATAGATATGTTGCTATACTAGGATATTCTGAACTAAAAATGGATTGATGACGTCACAATTAATGCAAATTAGCTAATTTGCATAACTTAATATTGTAACCATATAGTAAATTTAGTAAGGTTTAATCAGATACCAATATCATCTCTATAGACCAAATAATGGCGAATTTACATTGATTCAAGACTCCAAGGTAAGACGTAATGTATATTATTGTCAAATAATGACATTCACGATAGCTGCCTCGAAAGTTACATAACTTTCGTAATACTGATTCAATTTTGAATCTGTTTTCACTTTTATGTTGCTTATACCTTCTACTAATAGAATAAAGGACAAAACCTTTCAGAAATTTTGCCATACGGCCTCAGTTCTAATAGATTCGTTGCTATAGTTGGAAATTCTGAACCAAAAATAGATTGATGACGTCATAATTTATGCAAATTAGATAATTTGCATAATTGAATATCAGAACTTTATTGGAAATTTAACGAGGTTTAATTTGGTACCAATATCATTTCTATAGACCAAATAATGACAGAGCTACAAATGATTTAAGATACCAAGGTAAGATGTCTAAAGATGCGTAACCATGGTAACTGAATGCCGCCATAAAAGTACTATGGGACATTAGTTGGCAATGTTAACAAATGAATTCATTAAATAGACACCCTAGGGATTACAAAAATGTATGTAACTTATTCACACCTTATGGGTGCATGGGAACCCCTTGTTCCTACTATACTAATCTAATCTGACTGAAAAATTACAACACTGCATTTTTCCGCCTACTTTGACACGGGTGTTAAAACACGAATATACCATGAGCACATGCTTTAAGGATCCGCGTTGTTTAAACCTACCGCCGAGCACACTTATACATTAAGACCAGTTACACAGTAATGATACCGCCGAGCAAGCTCATTGCATCATCGGGTCTGCTTTACCCCCGTGTTGTAGATTAAGTTCATTTCCCATACATACTTCCTTATATGGTTATGTGGGCTACATTTGATACTTTGAAATAGTTTGTCATAGTCAGAGGGCAGTGGTTTGGCTATTACACACAGGGTAGCTAAGGCTATAATCTTGAATCATTGAAGCAACACCCACTGGCCTCCTATACTTCCACTAATGTGATCACCAGTTCCGACCTCGCAAACTATGTTCCTTCCACATTACCTGAATATAGATTTTTTCATTGCCAACCACCAATTCCTCTTTTCCGAACATATTTCTCCATTCGCGAATGAAGTTCCCAAATGAAAACTTAGGTTCATTTCAGAAATTATAATGTGGCAGTTCAGAAATTATAATGTGACAAGCCTTGCCTATAGGTTATTTTTTCCTTGGAGGGGGTTGCATATGGGTTCTTCTTTTCTTAGGTATTCCGTTACTTGGTATTTTGTCACCATATCTATCTCAGTCTCTCAGTCTGTACTTCTAATTTTATGGCATTTTAAGTTCAAGGCTGAGTTTATGGATTACATTGTTTAAGCAAATCTTATGATGGTTTCTGTCAGAGGTGACAGTAGCATGGTTTTAGTCATATTGTTTATGAGACACAGGGTTACTTGTCCTGAATAATCCCCTATTACTTTGATAATGAAGTCATGAAGCATTGCATAGAATCCAGGCCATTGACGGTATGTCCTGGATGTGGGGCAAATGGATACACCTCCATCCATTGCTTCCTTAGTAACAGTGATGTCATTTATTCAAGTGTCACCTATTTAAACTAGCCAGCCCTATAATGTCTATATCTCAAACTATGTACTGTATTTCTGATCATCAGACTGATCTGATGACATACACTGTATTCTCTGTAATTGAAAATTGAAAATACATCCTTCAGACCATTCTAAGAAGTGCCCATATATGAAAGAAGTAAAAAATCTCTGGGAATTTCATGTATGGCAATTTTTCCTGCCAAGAATGCCTTTTTTTACAATAATGATATGTATTGCAAGAATCTAACAATGTTGACAGTGATTGAAGAATCCCCAACAAAGCCCCTAGAATTGAAGGAATTTTTTCCCCCGATTATTTTCCATATTTCTACTAGTTATTGTTGGATATTGATCTAACGTTATACCTTATCTTTTTAATTATCACACCATCGGTGGGATATAGTCGTCATACTGGTCGTGATCGTGGTCGTGATCGTCCCGCTTTTTGTCATCGCCGTTTAAGGAAAACTGCTCATCAGATTTTCTCCAAATTCGCAGAGATGATAGAGCATATGAAGTACTAGAGCTGATTAACTTTTTGTTTTCTGGCGGCCATTTTGAAGTTTTTTTTTTGTCATCGCCATTTCAGGAAAACCGCTCATTGGATTTCCTTCAAATTTACACAAATGATAGAGGATATCAAGTACTAGAGCTGATTAACTTTTGGGCGGCCATCTTGTTTTCTGGCAGCCATTTTGAAGATTTTTCGAAAAATCTTGTCATCGCCATTTCAGAAAATCCGCTCATCGGATTTCCTTCAAGTTTACACACATGATAGAGGATATCAAGTACTAGAGCTGATTAACTTTTGGGTGGCCATCTTGTTTTCTGGTGGCCATTTTGAAGGTTTTTCGAAAAATCTTGTCATCGCCATTTTAGGAAAACCGCTCATCGGATTTCCTTCAAATTTACACAAATGATAGAGGATATCAAGTACTAGAGCTGATTAACTTTTGGGCGGCCATCTTGTTTTCTGGCAGCCATTTTGAAGATTTTTTGAAAAATCTTGTCATCGCCATTTTAGGAAAACCGCTCATCGGATTTCCTTCAAGTTTACACACATGATAGAGGATATCAAGTACTAGAGCTGATTAACTTTTGGGCGGCCATCTTGTTTTCTGGTGGCCATTTTGAAGGTTTTTTGAAAAATCTTGTTTCTTGTTCTTGAAATTTGTAAACATAATAGGAGAACAGTTTTCCTGGTTCATAGTGTCTGCCTATTTGATGGTGTGATCTCGTTCACGTCCTTCGCCTTGTTTGATGAAATATTGTCATTTTCCGTGTGAAAATCATGTTAAAGGCGACATATGCAGAAATCCTTCGCAAAAACTTTCTTGGTAAAATGCCTATCAAAATTTTTAAATTTCAGAACATTTCCTTCATTTATTATAGCTTACTTTGAGATAATATTTGTTTAGTATGATGTTGGAAGCACCTAATGATAGATATTTATCGCCCACTCAAATTTCTTTGGAAACATGATTATTTCTGATATATTCATTAATACTTGGTCATTTCTCAATATTTCTTTAACTTTGTGAAGTGGGATGGGCACTTATTCAAGAGTAGACGCTAATTACAGAGAATACGGTGTGTATTTTTTAAAGTCACTTTGATGCAATTTGGTTATAATTTTTTAGATAATTACATTGGAATGACCTATTAAATATCAGGATCTAATCAGTTTGCATCAATTTTTAATGGGAAATATGGCATATATTTGAATCTTTTGCCATAGGCAACTATTAATGTTCCCCCATATCCCCATCATTTACACTCTCTATCTCAAAAGTAACTTCAGTCTTGATTTTTAAACTAATGTATTTAACCTGTGTATTTTCCTGCTTTTTGATGCCCTCATCTTCGTATTTATTAAGAGATGCCATGACGATGACATTAAAAAAAAACATGAAAAGGGTTGCAAAAGTGAATAATATACCAATGGATAATGTTGAAAACTTGAATGATTATGTAGAAATATCTTTTGTTATTTTCAGAGTTTTGAGGAAGGTATTGCATGGAATAATGAAGTGAAACAAGGCTTGAGCAGCTCCCTATTTACTAAAGACCTCAGCAACATCTTCAAGTGGATGGGGTAAGATAAACGTTCCATGGTTGTCATGTTTTCAAAGAGGATTAATGTGAATAATTCTTTCCATTTATTTGTAAAGCGACTTTGACACACAAATGTTTTCTTTGAGCATCGCATAAAAAATGTTAAAATACAATAAAATTTTTTAATGTTTTTTACAAGTCACTTCCTTCAATATCATAGTTCAACATGTACCTTAATTTCAAATCTCTAATTTATGCATTGAAGAATTGATTTAGTTAAATTAACTGAAATAGACATGACCCAGTGATCTCCCCAGCATTAAAGCAAGTGGGCGCAGCTCCTACCTGAGGTTTTGAAAATAGGCTTGCACCCACCTGAAAATCCATTTGCACCCACTTGAAAATGAGAAAAATCATAGAAAATTGGCACATTTTGACCAATTTTGTCTGAATTGTGAAAATGAGAATTTTGCACCCACCTGAGAAAACATCTGTGGAGATCACTGTGACCTGATAAGATTATCCATAAGCAGATTCTAGTTGAAGTCTGTAACAATTGTTACACTTTTGTAACAGTGACAATTGGGTAAATATTGCCTTGTTTTCTCTTGAGATCTACTATACACATGAAACACATGCTTATAAGATCATGAAATATTATGATTTTCTACTTTCCAAGTTATTGATAAAAAATTACATCATCACCATAATTGTCATAATCATCATTGGTTTTTATTGGAGTTGGGTTGTTTGCTTAATAGTCATTCGAACATTACTGTATTCACGCCTTCTATAAACTGTAAACAAAGTCACATTTCACCCGGGGTATATTCGCGAAGAATACCCCTTGTAATACGTGTAATATGTGACGTCATAACCGCAGGTCGTAGTAATGGTGGACCATAATAAATATTCGAAACATTTTGGTGAGTTTTCATGTTCGAATCATAATATAGACCTCAGAGCATTACTCCTGCTCTTCGGTCTATATTTCTTTATTAAGCTTATTATTTTTCAGCTGTAATGATCTTTAGATTTTATTCAGATCATATTGAATGTAGTTTATTACCAGAAGTGGTGACATATTGTTATAGTCTCCAACTTTTTTGTGGATGGTGTTTCACGGTTGGTGATCGGCAGTCAGTGCCTTTAACAAATGGCAGGTGGTGACATTTTGCTTGTTAATGCCTTGTTATGTACATACTGGAATGATAAATGATTTTCTTATTCCAGGCCCAAGGGTTCTGACTGTGGTATTGTGAATGTGAATATACCGACCAGTGGTGCCGAAATAGGTGGCGCATTTGGTGAGAATTAGATTTGTTAAATACACCAAAAATATCATGTTCACAGGCTGGTATCTAAAAATTTGTCCGCTGTGACGGAGCATGCTATTTTTCATAAAAACACTAAGAATGCTTCACGATTTATTTTTTAACTCATATGTTTTGTTATATCAAAGATAATTACTTACTCCATGCAATGGATATATCATTTGCGTGTAACCTTCACTTCTGTTTGAAGGCCAATAACGCTAGAAGTAAAATCTATTGAAAACGGCGCCAGAGTATCAAACTCTAAAATGTACCATTTCTTTTTTAACTTTTTAATGGCATGATATAGTGACACGATAATATTGACATATGTTTTCAGCATAACTCTGAATGTATTAATGAGATATTTATGCATTGGGTCTTTGTAATTTTTTTATAAAAAATAATATTAATATTTTTTGGCCGCTGTGACGGAGCATTTTCACAGTTCACATTTGCAACTGCTCCGTCACAGCGGACAAAAAAATTAAACATTATTTTTTATAAAAGAATTAAAAAGACCAAATACATCAACATCTCATTTATACCTTCATAGTTATGCTGAAACCATGTGTAAATATTATCGTGTCACTATATCGTGCCATTAGAAAGTTAAACAAGAAATGGTACATTTTGAAGTATGATACTCCGGCGCCATTTTCAATAGCTTTTCTTCCCAGCGTAATTGGACTTCCAACCGAAGTGAAAGTTACCCGCAAATGATATATCCATTGCATGGAGTAAGTAATTTTGTATGGTATAACGAAACATATGAGTTAAAAAATAAATCGTGAAGTATTCTTAGTGTTTTTATGAAAAATAGCATGCTCCGTCACAGCGGACAAATATTTCGATACCAGTCTGTGATGTTGTGTATGAGATGTTACACGTAGAATTGCCCCCTTACATTTCAAACGTTTGTCAATTTAATCAATATTTTACTTTATTGATTATCAGTAGAACATTTCTAGAATAGACTACAATAATAAAAATATAAATATAAAATGTAATATGTTTTATTTTGCATTTCTTGTGTTTTCCGGGCTGGTTTGAATATCATGTGTCATTTCTACGCACAATATTTCATTTAAAGTCTACTTTTTATTATTACTATCAGTAGCATGGGCATTAAAATGGCCAATAACAAGAGTGGAAGGTCTCATTGAACCCGTATTACTGAAGTTGTATTCTAATGTTGCTTTTATATACCCTGTGTTCTTCAGGCGGTGAGAAACACACTGGAGGTGGACGAGAGTCTGGTAGCGATGCCTGGAAACAATATATGAGACGCTCAACTTGGTGAGAAATAAATCTTTTGTTTTGAAATCAGTAAACCTTTGATACTTATCAGGGGTCATCATAACCAGAAGCTTTTCTAAAATTAAGTTTTCCGAACACTCTAAAAAATAATTACTTAAGTTTGTATTATCTTTGTATTCACAAGTAATTTAATTACTAGGTCAGGTAATTGTTTTTGTCCCAAAGGGTTTTTCATTTTTGTAATTATATTACTAGCATAGTATTATTTTGACTGAATTACTATATTGAGTAATTAAAAAATTACTTGAATTATAAATAATTATACTTATTAAGTAATTATTTTACTCTATTCTATAAGTAATTGTTTTGTTCCAAATGGTATTTTATATTTGAGGATAACATTACTAAGTAATTATATTACTTAAGTATTGAAATTACCTAATTAGAAATTGAATAATTTGTTCAAGACTTTTTTCATTTTTTAACTTACTTTATTTACATATTATTAAGAGAATTCTTTTGTTCTCAAGTTTCCACATATGTCCATGATTACATGCAGCACTTTGAACAAATTGTAACCTTACTTTTGGGGACCAGATCTAATAGTTAACTGAATACCACAAAATGGAGTTTGTCTTATTAGGTTAATATTAAATAGAGTTAGCATTAATTAATTGTATGTTAATCAGCTTCACATAAAATTGACATAGTTCTTTGCAAATTTATAATTTTATAATTTTGTTACAGTTTCTTTTAATAAAGAATTAAATCTTGATTTTAAAAATATTAAAAAACATGATATCAAACTACATTAAGTAATTTAATTACTATTTTAAAAATTTAGAATACTAAGTATTAGAATTACTCAGTATAATCTTATCATTTAATTGCAGTAATTAAACATTATAAGTTATTGAATGATTTGAAGTGCAATACAGGATATATTCTGCTCGAGAAATTCCGTATTGGAACGAGACAAAGTCGAGTGCCAATACAGAATATCGAGACAGAATATATCCTGTATTGCACTTCAAATCATTCAATAACGTTTTTATCGTGTGATCCTCTGTATTGCTACTGAGATTGTCCCCTCCGTACCAATATTTTCTGTATTGCGACGGAGATGATCAACGGGGACAATCTCAGTAGCAATACAGATTGGTACAGCACAAGAACTGACCAATCAGAGGGCTTCATTTTACAGATCACACGATAAATTAATTCATTAACATTGCTATTGCTATATAGTAATTCAAATATCAAAAGATTACTCAGTAACGTATTTCCAATTTAATGCAATTAAACTTAGTAATTCCTTTACATTGCTGGTATTATCATATTTCTATAAAGTAATTCAAATATTAAAAAGATTACTCAGTAATGTATTTTGAATTTAGTGCAATTAAACATTTATTTGGTACCATTTATTTGCATTGCTAGTATTATAATATTTCAATATAGTAATTTGAATGTTAAAAGAATTACTAAATAATGTATTTTCAATTTAATGCTATTAAACATAGTAATTCATTTACATTGCTAGTATTACTATTAATGAAATTTTAAAATGCAAATGGGGAATAAAATTACCTAGTAATATTATTACTTTTATATGCAAATAAAACAAAAACAGAAACAATTTATTTACAAATAAAGTATTACAATTACTAAAGTAAGTAATTCACACAAATAAACAATTACTAAGTAATATGATTACATTATAGGTGACACAAGTAATTTATAAATTACTTAGTAATCAATCAAATTACTTCAGCTAGCTGTCAAGTAATATTTTTTTAGAGTGAATCTCTTGTAATTCATGCAATTGAACATAGGGTCAAAGGTCATGTTGATAAAAAGAGGGGACCTAGTCAAAGCGTTTGACAATCAAGTCCAATTTTAATGTCTACTGTTATGTCGAAGAGTTTTTTTACACAGCCAATATAATTCGGCACTGTTTCGGCATCGAAAAAATTCGGCGCTGTTCCGGCACCGTTTCGACACCGTTTCGGCACCAAAACCTTTCGACACCAACATTTGCTACTGGACTAGTTAGTCCAGTAGCACCGAAATTTGGCACCGAAACGGTGTCGAAAATCAGATTGCATTTTGGGGGTGTACTCAATAAGAATATATCAGGTCAGTTGTTCAAACTCCGAATAGTTCCTATATATATTTTCAGCTCACATTTAAGTTATTGTTATGGTTCAGGTCTCTTTACATTGGTTGGCAAAATATGTATGATTTCATAAAAAAAATAAATGAATAAAGTTTTACTTATCAATTGTCTTTTATTGGAAGGACCACATTATGACCTCTGATTTCTAAGAAATGATAAAACAGGAAATACATGAATCCACGAGAATTATATAAACCATATCACAGACAGATAGGGTTACATCAACCCATCATGTCATGTCTAGACAGTTATTTACAGGTATTCCTATTATATAGAGGATATTGATACCTTTAGTTCCAAGCTGAAATGCTAATCACATGTTTTAGTATAATTATGTAAATGTAAATTATATGTTGGAATATTATGTCCTTTTGGTTCATCATTTCAATGTATGTGAAATATGGCTTTTATTACTGTCATAAAAACAAATAGTGCTTATAAATCATGAAAAATACTAAAATGAGATTAAATACAGATTACAATGCTCTCCAAAGGATTCTGTTTGTGTGGAGGATTTTGTTACTTTTTAGTGCATTATTTTAGTATTTTGTAAATTTTTGTGCAACATTTTATGATTTTGTAATTTTGTGTGCAACATTATACAATTTTGTAATCTTTTGTGCAACATTTTATGATTTTCTTATTCTTTATTGTAACATTTTCAATGTGGGGAGAGCACTAGATTAGAAACATCTTATTAACCCAGGAAGATTTTAAAACAAAATCATATTCTTGAAATATATTTTGGGATTTTGAATTTTTCAAATATATGAATTTCCTGCCATTTTAATAAAAAGAGGACAGAAAAAATGGCTGCTACTTGATTCTAGAAATATTAGAAATATCTGTTTTCACATTAAGCACATATTTATAGTTACAACTTTTTGACTGATTCTAACTTTTCATCATCTAGATCATGTAAAAAGATATAAAATTGCAACCATTGTACGAGTATTTGCAATTTTGATGCCAATATTCTTATTAATTTTGATGCAAATTGATTTTGTGGGCTCTCAGAAAAATGATAGGATATTAAGATTTGGTAATATGTGTGATTGAGCTAGTTTTTCAGACTTCAACAATTTTCATTATTTTGTTAGTCAATATTTTGACTCATCTCCTGACTTATCCCTGTGTCTGCAAACCTCTCATATCCAGCTACCACTAAAGATTTAATCGTGTCATTTTAGGAACAATTGCAAAATTGATTGCCACATCTCAAGCTAAATATTCTTGAAATTCATGTATTTAAAAAAAAATTATTTCATTTTGTATAAGTGTATAGAGGTTATTTACTGGGAGGGAATGGATATGGATTTTATTTAGAGCGTTATTATAAAATATTTACCGCAGGCTTAGAATACATATAACCAATGTTTTCAAACCATATCTGAACAAAAGTATGGACTTTCACAGTTCATATGATACTCATAGAAATTTAATTTTCTCACCTAGAAACACTTTAGTACAATACTTGAATGTTTTCAGCCTGTTTGAAAAATGCTACGCTTGTATTTGAGAATCTATCATTAAGATTTTGAAGTCCTCCTCTTCCAAGTTGCCTAAAGTGTTCAATCTCATCTGCTCTCAGTTTGTCCACTTATTATAAGATCAATAATAATTCACTTAATAGTGGTGCCTTGATTCAAAGAAGGTTATTTGGTGTCTTATGATCAATTAGGATTAAGACTGACAATGCAAATTTCTTTTGTAAGGTTTCTATGGGGTCTCTTCCTGTCAGAGCTACATGTATATTTGGAGGATATAATTGTGACTAATATAAATAGTGATTATGGAACTAGTATTGATGGGGTTAAATAAAGCATTGAAGTTATTCTTGTACTGTCCCTTGGTGTTGTGTATAAATTGATAGAGATTTAGTTAATTGGGTGATGGCTTTTTCATACTCTCCTTGATTTTTATTCATTTCTAATAATCAATTTTTTGAATCAGTACTACAGTTAATACAGAGAAAATATATATATACTTTCATCTATATTGTTATATAAACAGTTATATAAAATATTTCTAAATAATTTTCGCATTAAATTGTTGTCAGTCAGTCAACATTACATAAAATAGCGTGTTTTTTTACAGAATGTTTTCAATGATTGGTTTAAGAGAAAAACATTGTTGCATTCAGTTCTCCATATCGATACCACTCCTTTCCCAACATTCATAGATGCAACTTTTATATCATTCCTCCTTCACAGACTTCACTTTATTAATCTGAAGTCATCCACCAGCAGTGGGTCTGTACACGAAGCAAACTTATTCTTTTGATGTGTGGTTCAACTTTGTTATCTGCATTGAAGATTTTTTCTAGATTACAGGATGCAGTGGATATCAAATATCTATGTTAGATGGAAGAACATTTATTTAATCTGTCCCATCTGTGTTAAACAATTGAAGGCAATTTTAATTATTTTGAATCTAATCTGAATGGTAAAATCACATCAGATACTGTATGTTTCAATAGAAGACATTTCAAACGTTCCTCAGAACAATGACCTTCATCGCCAATTAGTACATTAACAGAACAATTATACCGATTCAATTATGAACATATTGATTAAGTCTATAAATAACTCTATAAACTTTGACTTCCTTCTCCTGTCTAAATGTGTTATGCTTAACACAAATAAAGCCATTATAAAACTATTAATAACCCATTACTAAGAAACCAGGTAGATTTTCATAGCTGGGTCTATCTGGGAGCTTTCTATCTGAGCAGAGTGCCTCTATTGATGGTTGTATAGCGTGAGCTGGTAAGCCATTAGCACTCACTTACAAACCATCCAGATCTTCAGTTAAAATTCCAATAGACTGTTGCCCTGGACCTTAAGTCCTATTTATAGGAAGATTTTGTAGCGCATAATGGCTTGTATATTTCACTTGATTATTTCCATGCCGTGATACTCTTTCTGTCATAGGTCAATCACATGCCATGTGACTAAAAATAAATAGCGGTATTCCACCCACATGTGTCAAAATGATTCTCATGGAACATGGGCGTAGTCAGGGGCGATGGGTGCGATCACACCCCGCATACAAAAAAGAGAAAAAACAGTTTTGAAAATATGTTGAAAAAAACATGAACAAATTATAGTTTGAAATGCTTCAAATGCACCAAAAACAATGTAAAGTTTAGAAATATTCTAGGGGTGGACCCCCTTACCCTCCTATCGGGGCTTGCTTGCTTGCAGTGGTGTAAACTCAAAAGTTTGCACTCCCTTGACCCCTTTAAAGGAATAAGTGATTCCTTTCAGATAAAGTGGAAAACAATATTTCTCATGTTATTTTCCCATAGGGTAAACTCATGCGATCCATTGCTTTCAGCTAATTTTGGTCACCGATAATGGATATCTTTAAAACCCCCAAAGGAATCACTTATTCCTTTAAAGGGTTTAACTGTGTGTCAAAACCCAACATATTGATGCAAGAAAAATTAAAAAAGCAGGGGTGGAAGGGGTTGATAATCAAGAAAACGTTTCAGAAAAAACATGTGGGTGGGTTGTTTGCATCTTCCCTGTCTCAAAGTCGAAACAATTTTATCATCTCTAGGAGTGCTTTTCCTGGAGGTAATGCATTTGTCTAACATATGCACCTGTTTAAATCCTCAGAAAATAGCCAAAATCCAATATATGACTGCCCGAAACCTGTTGCGATACTTTCCCTCCTCCTTTGGTTTGAGGATTGCTTTAAAGTGGCAATGATATAAAGGATAGAGATGAGTTTCTAAAAGTTTAACAATTTATAGCATTTCTCATGATTCCTATTTTCTTAAAGATCCAACAATTCTGGCTTTATTTTGTGACAATCCTTTGAAATTTAAAGTTATTTGGTATAATATTGGAAAACAGCTTGTCTCATTATTCAATTCTTCAATCTCCAATAACTTCTATATCTGATCAAATATCTTAAATATTGTTTCAGATATTGAAATAATCTCAAGGGAAATACTTTTTTTTAAGATTGGTTCCAACATTTTGCCTTTTCTATCCTTTACTGCCACTTTAAATTTAAACAATTGTTACCTAGTTCTCCTAGAGGTGCACTATTATACCTAGTTATTATGAAAATATTGTGATTTATGATTATGATGTGGACTTCAAGAGAATACAAGTCAGCCAGGCATCCATAACAATAAAATAATTCTCTCTTCATATCAAGATTAAAATGTAAAGTGAAAGAATGCGCTATCAATTATGTAAACAAATGCCAAAGTAGAAGATAATGACTGTCAATGTGTACATCCACATGCTTCATAAAATATAATAACGAGAAACTGAAGGGAATAAGGTTACATGTGGTGGGTGGACTGAACCATTTAATAGAACTTTATAGTTTCTGTAAATGAATTTATATATCTTATATGACATGTGTGGGCTTTCATGTGATATCCAATCCAATGTTCTTCTCACATGATCACTGTTAGAGAGGATATCTATAACAACATACTATTCAAAATGCCATTTGTCAAAAATGGTGATGTATTAATTAAGAATGGCTTTTCGCTCTTTTTATTATCACACTTGAAAAGTGCTAGATTGTCTTTGTGGGGTGGGTGGCTGTGCATGTGTCTGTATTTGTGGCACAAGAAATCTTACCATCAAGACAGCAAGAAAACTATGTCCATTGAACCTTACAGTTGGAAGAGCAATCTAGAGCAAAAATCTGATTAGGTTTTGGGCATGCTGGATAAATCTTGCCCTCAAAATATCAGGAAACCCCCTCATTGGATAAACTTGAGAGTTTTACGGAAGCAAGAGCAGACTAGTACCAAGATGTAAATGTAGACCTGAAAATCTTACTGACATCACAAAGTAACCTTGGGCCAGGACAAATTTTGAACAAAGTTTGACATATGTAAAAAAATTGAATTAAATGGTTAAAATAACTTTTACAGAATCTCTTTAATTGTATTCAGAAAAGATGTTTTACAGCATATAGTGTTATACTTTATGCACTAAAATTTTACTTGATAATATAGAGAGAAGTTCAAATATTTAAAAAATCAAAACACCATACATTTAAAAAAAATTGGATGAACAGTGAACACTCTCAAATGTATTATGATTGGCTTTCTAGTATATTTCCTACTTTGAGAGGTTCCTGATAGGACTCCCCACCTGAGCTAATTGACGCTCATCTTGATGAAATATGATCAAATTGTGTCATTTAAAGTGCTTCTGCAGAGTTAAATGCAAACTGAGCTATTACTCTGCAAGAGAAGCTTAAACTTAGATTTGATTGCAGACATTATGATGTCTGGGCCATCCCCTTGTGCCAATTACCCCAGGCATCTTTTATAAGTTATTATTATTTTTTACTATAATATATGGATTTTTGATACCTATTTATGATCACCTGGTAAGACTGGGGTCAATATATAGGAGTTAATGGACAAACATGTATAGAAAGATATCTTGGGGTTAATATAAAGGAATCAAAGGACAAACATGTATAGAAAGATATCTTGGGGTTAATATAAAGGAATCAAAGGACAAACTTGTATAGAAAGATATCTTGGGGTTAATATAAAGGAATCAAAGGACAAACATGTATAGAAAGATATCTTGGGGTTAATATAAAGGAATCAAAGGTCAAACTTGTATAGAAAGATATCTTGGGGTTAATATAAAGGAATCAAAGGACAAACATGTATAGAAAGATGTCTTGGGGTTAATATAAAGGAATCAAAGGACAAACATGTATAGAAAGATATCTTGGGGTTAATATAAAGGAATCAAAGAACAAACCTGTATGAAAAGATGTCTGTGCACAGAATTAGACTTACCATGTGATATGTGGAAATTGAAACTGCTTTATATTCTCTTAATACATTCATATGGGGTAAATAATAAAGCAATTCCTGACTCATATTTTTTAGAAATAGTGCATTGATTGGTCCCCTTTGTCACCTTGGCAATGCATTATTTATCATTTAATTTAAAAGGAAAGAAAAAGACTCAAAGTTTACAAGCCAACCAAATATGTCAAAATTTGAAACGTCAGATACTGTCAGATACTGACGTCAGATACTGTACATCACGGCGTAACATTGTAATTGTTCATTTTACCGACAAAAATGCAAAGATTTACGCGATAAATACGCGCAATGCTCCTCCCAAGTTATTGCAAAAGTTTTAATATTTGTGGAATCTTCTTAAAAATTTAAAGTTTTGTCCAGCTTAATGTGTGCTTCAATACAATTCTATATTCAAAAAGGTTGTGTCACAATATACAGAATTAGAATCACTAGAAAGTAGACCTTTCAAACACTACCTGTTTTCTTCTTTGTCGCGCTTTTCGGCGCTGCGCTCTTGTTGTCGCACCGTCTTTCTTGACTCTCACAGAGCACCTTGTCATATTCAAATAATATACGCGGACGGGAAAATATCATGGATTGTTAAATGTATTATCTGTAGTTTATTTTAACTCGAATAACAGTTTCATTCAGTAAAAAGCAATGAATAACAAAGGAGAACATATAATACAGTAACGGCGTAACGTCTTATTTTGTAAAGGCTTCACCTGGGGTTGCGGTGATAAAGTGATGTCTATCTCAATATATACTGGTTCAAATTAAATGAGATTTATCGTATGTAGTTAGGGGTATAATTAAAAGACCATGCTGAAACATTGAAACGTTTTGAATGTTTATCACTCAATCAGAGATATTTGAACTCAAAAGATGAAACACAATTTTGTGAATTTTTCACATGGCTTCACTTCATATTTCTTTCAATTTATACTTCTTACAGATTGAATTTTAATCAAAATGATCTAGTTTTTTGATAAAGATGTATAATATGGTATGCCTTTAAGGAATCAAAAAAGAATAGTTCACCCTTCAAACGATTAAATGTTTAATTGATCAAAAGATATATCTTGTTGGTACGAAATTCTGCCTGTCCACACATTTTTGGCAAAAATATAAGCGTTAAGTTAGTAAGTATTGTTTTATTATGACGTCATCACATAGAATATACTTGTCCTTTTCAAAAAGGTGAATTTAATCATTGTGAAAAATTGAGAAAGATCTGTTTAGAAATGAAAAAGTTAAGTTTATTTTTCTTTTAAAATTAAAATTATTTTTCTTCAAAATGTTACAGTCCACACCCAGTTTTAGCATAGAAAGTCGAATAATACGGCTTGCGTGATTCTCATTTTAAAAGTTTCAAATCAATTATTTTGAATTCCGATATAATTCCGATTTTGCTGTCGAGATATCGCGGTTTTAAAAGTAAGTACACATGTAAAAATGCAGTAAAATGCCGTGATGTACAGTATCTGACATCGTATCTATATACTTTTTTGATACTCCCAGTGTGGGTAAAAATAATGAATAAATGAAATAAAACAACTTGTATATTTTCAGTACTATTAACTACAGCAAGGAGCTCCCATTAGCCCAGGGTATCAAGTTCGAATAACACCCTCGACCAGATCAACTTTACATCAGCATCCAACAAAGAAGATATGTATACAGACTGGACTTAAGCATTTTAAAAGAAAGGCAGCTATATATACACTACCTGTATTAGAATATTAACTAACCATAATTTGACTGAACAATTTATTTGTTCTCCAGTTTCCCGATTTTAGGGAATTAAAATTTTCTAGACAAACTTTACTTTTTGAAATTCATTCTGATGTAAACTTATTCATTGCCAAATTAGACATATTTATTTTTCACAAAGAAATTGTTTTGTAGCCAATATTTACTTATAAATAAGTAAGATTTTCATGTAAGGTTTGTACTTGGATTTACAAAGACACTTCTGATACATGAATAAAATTCATTGGAAATGTAATATGAATGCATCTTGTTTTATGCCTTTTAATGGTCGAAAAGGGAACTTTAAAACTGTCCTAGTTATTATTAAGGTGGCCATTTTTGGTTTTTCTTCCTAAAATCCTGTCTGTCCAGTCTTGTCTACAGGTTTCCAGCAAAACTGTTTCATGGATTAATCTGAAATTTTCAGGTATGTTTCTATGCATGAAAGTTTAAAACTGATTTGTTTTTGAGCATTCTGGGTAAATGATAAAGTGGCCATTTTTTGTCCTAAAATCTTGGATGTCAAGGCTTATCTACAGGTTTCCAGCCAAACCGTTTCATGGATTCATCTATAGACATACCAAAATATTCTTTATATACTTGTATAATATCTCCCAAGAGATACGCAATATGGTATCAACTGGTCAAGTTTCTAAACTTCAAAGTGCAAAAATGGGGAAAATGTTACTAGGGATTTTTAAAAATAGACATGACAAGGAAATCTATGAGCCAAAAATATTCTAAAATTGCAAGAATTTTTGTTAGGTTGCTTGCGAGATCTAATACTACCTTTAACAGCCATCAATGCTTACATTTGGACTTTTCAGATGCTTTTAATGACCGGGGTATGCTATAGGCATAATAAGGCAATAACAGGTATGCCAAAACTTATTTTCTTTGTACATTTGTATGTCCATGGACTTGAAGAAATGGATTTGGTTTTCCCAATTAGGTTCCTATTAATTTTTTATGTCCTTGGCATAATTATTCATGGTGTACCATTATATCTAAATTCTAGATGTTTTTAAGAGAAGTTGTCCTTGAATACAAAACAATACATTGTTTAAGTTGTTTGCACCAGCGTCATTATAAAATTGATCGACTTGAAACACTTTCTTCTTGACTGTTAGTTTACAAATTAAAGCTATTAGGAATGATTGTAAACATTTTGAAAAGGTTAACCCTTGTAATTTTGTGTTATCTGAAACCTTTCCAATACGCCTACTCAACAAAGAACATCTTAAACATGACTACTTTGTTTTTGTTGGAAAATCACACGTTTGTTGAGATTTCGAATTGACAGATTTTTTGGATATATTATCTGTTTTCTGAAACATAAACAAACCAATGTACGTCACATTTCATTGGATATTATATTTGCTGTTTTATTTTTCATGTAAATGTTCAAGCATATTTCTGTTTTCAAAAATACATGCAAATGTTTTTGCAATGTCATTCAGCATTCAGCCTCATAAATCACTTTATAGGTTACTGTTACACCCAACGTTTTTTGTTATTCAACTCTATTCACCTGATAATTTTTTTCATAAAACATTTAGAATTCAAGACAAGAATGAGCTACCACTTTGTAGTAGTGTCACCAAGGTTGTCTATTCAAAATTTGGGTATAGATAGAAAATAGATTTATCATTTTTAGGTATATCATTACAACCTGGCATATATGTAAAAGGTAATGGGGAAGTATAGAGTTTGTATACTGTATACACATTACATTTCAGGAAAACAAAACTTTTTCAGACAATTCCTGACTGAATATTGATTGAAACAAATATTTTAGAACTGCAAGACTAGGCCATTCTGCATCAAAGGCAAAAAATGAAAGATGTCTTTTGCTTACCAGTCAATCAAAATGGTGAATGACGTGCCCACTGATTCTAACCATGCTGTTTTAGAAAATAGCATGGATTTTCCAGATTGAATCCAATGGTAATATTATTAATTAACTGTTAATGATGAATGGTTTATGATCTTTAAATGGCATGGATGCTAGTATTCAAATTACTTTCAAAGATATTAATATCTGTCCTCTTACACGCAGTCTTATACATATACAATACAATTATTTAGCTCCTTTTCAACAAAACAAATACCAAAGACTGTCTACCTAACATTGTAAAATTCAGTTACATCATATTGCCATCACTGCATGATATTGTATGATATAATACAAACGTATGCCAATAGCATGTGTCTACATATTGCACCATGAAGTTCATATTGCACTCTTTGTGTTAGTTCCAAACATTGTTTGCAGACAGATACATTTTTCAACAATCCAATTTAACATGATTTCGGTGTTAGTAGTTGTAGTTTGATGCCTTGCAGTAATGTTTGTTACACTTAAGGAAATGACACCACTGTTGGGGTTACTAATGACTAAATATTTACTTAAATTGTCTGTTTGATCAATTGAATGGACAACAGCAGCAATCGTCTGTTGCAAAGGTCTTTTGTAATACAGTAAAATGAATACCGATTAATGAACACATTTCATTAATATTTTCTTACCAATAATCACAGATTAACAATAAAGTGATGTCACAATTATAAGGAAGAAGTTCACCTCTGTCAAGTCAAGCCAAATGTACCATTTTCATAATGTACCATTTTTATTGTACCATTTTAATTTACCTTTGGTACACTACAATCATGTCACTGAAATAACAAAAATGTAGCAGGCACCAAAATATTTAATAAATCAAAATTGTTTAAAACATTTTGACCACAGATACACTACTAGTATCACAAATCACCAGTTGCACATTGATATCACCATAGATACAATACACCACTAATATCCATAGTTACCAATGCCCTACCACGATAAATCACCAAAATTACCATAACACTACCACTAATCATCAAAATTACCATACATTACCAAAATCATCAAAATTACCAATATACACTTCCATTAATAAACATAGTTACCAATACACTACCACTTATCATCAAAGTTACCAATATACACTACCACTAATAAACATAGTTACCAATACACTACTATAAATCACCAAACACTATGTACCAATACACTAACACTAATCACCGTTACCACTCTTATACAAATATTTATCCCCAATCTAGAAAATAGCCATATGCTTTATGGTATTAAGAATAGTTTAATAAAAGCAACAATACATTTTGATTGAACAATCATGTACATACAATATATGAGTTGAGAGTCTGACAATGTATATTATTTCAATGAATGTGAAATATCATCAAGATGTATTTATCAAGTATCTAAAGTTTCCCACTATGTATCACAAATCATCATTACAAGATTATACACAAATATCATCAACAAACAGTAGTAAATTCTCCTCAAAGTACTGTCATAAACAGGTTGAGCCAAAAAATGTAGCCCAGACAAAGCTTAATAACTCAGTCATTTAGCATGGGTCTGAAGTTGTACTTGGCAAAATGAAACCTTGTTCAATGTTCTTTCACTCCATTAAGTTTCACTGGTCTATCCTTAATGGTCCATTATAAGAGCCATTTTACGAAACATGCTTTAAAATGATAATGTCAAGTCTGGAGGCAAACTGAAACTTTTCTGGCAAAATTTTGCACTCAACAATCACAGATATTTTTAGTAATGGCACACACATCCCTTCTTACCTCTTGCTTCAATGTTTCAAGGGTTGTAAGTGAGTACATTAGCACCACAGATAAAATTCTGGGGTGTTTCATGTCTGGTGCCTACGGCCTGTTTCGGCTTTTAGAGCATGATTTGGCCATTAAATTGTGAGGATTGGGGATAGACCAATGAAACTTATTAGAATGAAAGAATTTTGAAAAATGTTTTAATAGTGCCAAATATGATTTTAAACCCACAATCAATGAGTTATTAACATGTATTTGTTTGGGTTACCTTTATTGGCTCAACCTGAAATACTCACACAGTTGATTTACAGTATTCTACCAATCACTACAAATAATCCCATCCAATTAATCCATTGACTCATCACAACTGACTTAGTGGCCAATACTTTAAATCCAATAACACAGAATTTTTACAATATCATAGATGAGTTCATAAAGCTGACATCACTATCACAGACAAGTGAATTACAGTGACAATGACACTGGAATATAATTAATAGAAAAATATAGTAAGTCTATACAAACAAATGCACCAAATGTAAAATACGTCGCTATGCAGCTTACATATAACATTGTTTTGTCTTCAGCCCATGAATTCAGTCATGGACATAATATAAGGTCCTATGGTTAAGCACAGTTTCCCATACTCTTTAATTAGCTGAAACTGACACACCTCAAAGGTGTTGGGGTATGTTAGGCTCAGTTAATTAGATATGCACTCTGATATCATAAACATTACAGATATCAAAATGAATGTACTCTGTGTTGGCTTTTCAGGTTCAACTACTGTATTAAATTGTCTCATACATGGAACAGAGTCCATATCGGACTTATGTACAGTATGTGTGGAATGTTTTCTTCTGCTCTATCACAACCTCATCCATCTGTGTCCATTCGTAGCTTTCTCTAATGCCTATTGGAACAGAATGGGGTTCCAGGAATTTCAGCAGTCGACTAGTCTTCCTCTTTAAGTTACCTAGAAATAAGTGCAGAACACAACTCTTCTAGCAAGCACATGCTTTTCGACATATACTATATGCACCATAGGCTACCATTAAGATATAACACATTTACACTCAGATTTGATTCTAATATAGTCCATTCTGTAAGGTCCGGGTGACCCATAGTCTGTTACTATAGCATAAGCATATGAAAACTGCTGCTCGCATTTTGATCTATCCTCATAGTCTGGATGGATAAATAAGCATTTTGTGTCCTTCACATGGGGCAGGCAAGATGTTTCATAAAATGTCTGCCTTGTTGTATGGTCTCTATACAAAACAACGAGTTTGCCCTCTCGTGAGAGTCCACCGAGAGGTTGTGTTCGACTAGTTAAAGATGGACAACACTGCATTTTTGTTTGGGACTTTGAGTTTCCCATACTTTTTTGGGGAGTGTTTTGATTTTGTCGTCTGCTTGTATCACGTTTGTTATGGGTGACATCTATAGGTGAGGTATCAGTGTTTATGTCCATGTCTATATTATGAGAATGGTGTCGGTGTTTTGGCGTATCCTGTAGAGACAGCCTGAAATATGTATAAAATTGTATATATCTCTGAATTGAATCTTTTAACCTTAAGGAACTCTGAGGAAGTAGGAGAGAGAACTGAAAGCAGGGTCAAATGATTCAATCTATAAACATGGATTAAAGCTTTGAGATTTGTCAGGAAACAGTTGAAAACAAAACACCAGAAGACCCTATAAGTCATAGGACTCCTTAACGACAATTAATAGACAATTATGAGATAAGAAATAACTTGTGAGTAGGGCAGGGTCAAATCTATTTTTCATCATTTAAAATTGACAATTTGCATATTCGACAATATTTGTTTCAATGCAATGTGCTCACTACTCTGATTCACAACTCTTGACACTGGAAATCCAAAATAGAAAAGCCATGCACGTTCAGTTATGAATCACTTAAAATTCAAAATAGAAACACCATGCACATTCAATTATGAATCACTTAAAATCCAAAACAGAAAGGCCATGCACATTCAGTTATGAATCACATAAAATCCAAAATAGAAAGGCCATACACATTCAGTTATGAATCACTTAAAATTTAAAATAGAAAAACCATGCACATTTAATTATGAATCAATTAAAATCCAAAATAGAAAGGCCTTGCACATTCAATTATGAATCACATAATATTCGAAATAGAAAGGCCATGCACATTCAAAATAGAAAGACCATGCTCATTCACTTCACTTAAACTCCAATATAGAAAGGTCTTGCTCATTCAGTTATGAATCGCTTAAATCCACAATAGAAAGGCCACGCACATTCAGTAAGGTCGTGCACATTTAAGTATGGATCACTAAAACTCCTAAATAGAAAGGTCTTGTACATTCAATTATGAATCACTTAAAATCCAAAGTAGAAAGGCCATCCACATTCAATGATGAATCACTTAAAATCCAAAATAGAAAGGTCTTGATCATTCAGTTATGAATCACTTAAAATCAAAAATAGAAAGACCATGCACATTTAATTATGAATCACTTAAAATCCAAAATAGAAAGGCCATGCACATTCAATTATGAATCACTTAAAATCCAAAATAGAAAGGCCATGCACATTCAATCATGAATAACTTAAAATCCAAAATAGAAAGGCCATACACATTCAATCATGAATCACTTAAAATCCAAAATAGAAAGGCCATGCATATTCAATTATGAATCACTTAAATCCAAAATGGAAATGCCATGCAGATTCAATTATAAATTAATGAGTACCAAAATAGTCTATAATATGGACATTAACTTAAATTTACCTTTCATTCATTTTGGTCATGTGTCTCTGTCTTAGAAAGGTTTTGTGTCTTTTCTCCTGTTTTACACCTTTACAGAACAAAATAGTCAGCAGTAGCACCTGCAAGCACAAAGTGATTAATTAATCATAAATAAACGCCCTGATCTGAACAAACATGGCTCTTAAAACGTATATAAACCCGTGGTAATAATTAAATAAAAGAGCACTCGTAAACAATAAATAACAATAATCACATCGTGTCTTCAAGAATCAATGACATAATGGTATTACTAGAGGCAGAATAACCTAGTACAATACAAACACAAGCCTACGACATAATAGTGATAATCATAGAATTGCCCCATATACATGGTGAGCCAAAAAGCGTAACACAAACGCATGTTAATAACTCAGTCATTCAGCATGGGTTTAAGGTTAAATTGGGCATAATTCAACATTGTTCTATGTTCTTTCATTCATTTCCTCTAGACGCAAACTTTTTATTCTAACTACACACTCACAGATATCTTATGTAATTGCTCTCTCTTCCTCCTAATCTCTTATTTTAACTCTCTGATGCTTCTAGGGTTATTAGTGCAGACACTATCTTTGAAATAGCCCAAAATAGTCTGGGGATTCAAATCGGTTGAGTTTGACATGTTTCGGCATTTTGAGCACGTTTTGTAAAGTGGCCATATCGTAACGATTTGTAAAAGATCAATGAAATTTAAAACAATAGAAGAACATTGATCAAAGTTCAATTGTGCAAAATATGACATTAACCCATTGCCGGATAACCGAGTTATTAACATTTGTTAGGGTTACCCTTTTTCTGGCTCACCCTGTAGATATGAATAAGTGGGCCATAATCACCAATCCCAAGACCAGGTGGAAGAATAAAGACAGGATATGGGAAATAAAACCTCTGATGAGGAAATACAGTAACCATTGTACTAGTAAATGTGTAGGCCCACCACATAATTAATTGTTTAAAACATGAAGTACAATATATCATTTTTATATCTGAATATAACCATTCATACATTATTGATGGCAAAAATAAAGGCCATTTAATTCATTTCAGGATTATTCATGATTCTAATTGCCTATCCATGGCCACCACTATTACCAGGTAAGGTGATAAGATGGGGGCCTCAGATTTATAATCAGCTTGAAATTGTGACGATATCTTAAAGAGACCCCGAGTATATTTTTTGTGCTATTTGTTTAAGTTCTGTGACTGTGAATAATATTTTAAACATCTGATGCAAAACTTTTTACCGTTTTAGAAAAGTCCAAAGGATTGGTATCGATATGGCGAACTGAATTGAATACATGTTTCTCTTAAACCAGTCATCAAAAAATTCTGAAAATATTACACATCGTCAATTTTATGATCTCTTCTATTCTTGGTATCATATGTTCGCAATGAATTGAAACATCTATCCCAACCTCAATAAAAGGTTAATTTTTATCTACTTTGAGGGTTTTAATTTTGATGTTTTGAATACTTGAACCAAACATTCCTTTGTACAATTACAATATTGAGAGACTCAAACACGTTGTGTAAGCTTATATGTCATCTTGTTCCAAGTTTGGGATAGCTGTTTCATTTCATTCTCGAGAATATGCACAAAGGAACGAAAAAACAATTGCACTAAAAACAACAATTGTTCACAAAAACAATAATATAAAATATATATAAATAATTTTCGCATTAAATTGGTGTCAATCAATAATTGGTTTCAAAGAAAAACAACGTTGAATTCAGTTCGCCATATCGACACCAATACTTTACAACATTTTTAAAAGTATCATTACTGGAACATTTCAAATTTTAATGTCAAGAGAAATAATCTAAATAATTTTTATTATGAATCCACCGTTTTGATTTTGGAACACTGACATAAGTATTCATTTTTGAAAGGGCCATATGCCAAAGATTTCGATCTTATGTACATGCGCTCTTAAGTTCACTGGTATTTTAGGAGAGTCAATTGTGCTACTTATCACCCGAAACCTTTCTATTGTAATGGCAAATTGTGAAGACATCTGAACCAATAGTCGGAATTTGCCTCCTATAGATCCAAATCGCTTATCGATGCTCGCTATATTTATACCTCAGCGGTTAAGTCAAACCCAAGAACGAAACGATCTCGGGGCAGGCCGATTGTAAGCGTATCGCATTTCTTTTCTTGCGAAGGACATTTCAATTTATAATATTGTTATGATTATCAGTTTGGGTTTTTATTTGAGGTGAAAAAGATTATACTTTAGGCCGAAGACAAACACTGAAACAAAGTAAGATTAGCTACTCCTTAGTCCCAGAGACTAGAAGTAATTACCGTAGATCAAACTATTGAAGGCCAAGAGTAAAGGTTGTCTTGGATGAAATAATTTGGAATAATGAGAACATTGTCATCAGAAATAAATCAATATTTTGGAAGGAATTTTATGATAAAGGTTTTCTAACTATCAAAGATGTTATGCTTAATGGTATGGTTAAATCATGGAATCAGGTCAAAATGCAAACTGGACTTTCACATAATTATATGCTAAAATGGTTTGGCCTCATTCAGGCAATACCATCAGATTGGTTAAGAGTACCGAATGGAAATATGAATGACCAGGTATCTCTAGATAATATAACAGTAATAAAAAGCGATACAGAAGTCAACTTTTTAAAATGTACATCTAGAGAATTTTATAAAATATTGCTGGAAGCTATTGCAGAATATCCAACAGCAAAACACACTTTATCAGATAAATATCATATTAAAGAAGAAGATTGGTCATTTTACTATGAACACTTTCATAAAACCCTGACATATTCAAAACATAAGGCATTTCAATATAAGCTCTTAAACAATATTTTGTATACAAATAGTGAACTTTTTCAATACAAAATAACTCCTTCACCAATGTGTGAGTTTTGCCATGTGAACATAGAAACTTGTGACCACATCTTCTTTAATTGTGATTATACCAAACAGTTTTGGAAGTCATTAATAGATAATACATTAAAAGATCTCGAAAATTTTTCTCTGCTTACAGTATTATTTGGTAGCCCAAAATGGAGTGATTTTGAAAATATGGTAATTATTATAGGAAAGTACTACTTATATAATAAGAAAATGCAACAAGAGCCTCCAAATTATTACAACTTTAAGGCATATTTAGATCATTGTTTAAAAATGAAAATGGATTTTAACAGTATGATGGTATGAGTGGAGAATGTGAATGAATGGGTAATGGAGTGACTTTAATAATTTTTTCACTTATATGTATACATTTTAAATTTGATGAAAAAAAAAAAAAAAAGGTTGTCTTCCCTCAGTATCTAATGGTCCAACAATGTAAACTAGTAGTTCAAATTCTCATACACGATGAACAAAGAAGTCTCACAGGTCGTTTTGATCTCAATTCATTGAACAGTACATAGAACTCTTTGAATATTTACGGAATTCCATAACTTAATACGTTTTTGATACCAGCTAGGTTCACAATTCTCAGGTGATTTGTTTGCTTTATTGTTTAATTCATAGATGGATCGATCATTGATAGTGTTTTCCAATATTGTTTATGCATTGGTGGGTGGTAGAAAGGTGTGATTGTATTGAGATTATATTAATGAAGACATTTGGAGAATTATTGTGAATGGAGATCAATGGGTTATTGATGCGTATATGTAAAACACTCTATTACAAGTCTGTTTGAATTGATTGGTTGACAAGAGATCTGATTGATAACACTGAGGGGGTGGAATATAATATCTAATTGTGACCACTGATCAGTATCATATTGGTGGAATAAACCTAAATCCAAATCAGTGACAATTCAGCTCAAAAACGATATGAGACATCAGGGATAAGTTATCGTATAAAGTGGTGATTGATATCGACGTGTCCCTTTTGGGAACAATGCATTTTTAATTTTGCTGTGTCGGGCATCATGAGAGACAACAGCTTTGTATCAGGAGAAATCCTGTCTTTCTATTAAGCGTTCATTTCTAGAAAGATATTTCTAGTTGAGAAACAGAAAAAGCATTGGCACCCGAAGGGGAGGGGAGGGGGGGAGAGTGAGTATCAGAATGGTCTTATGGCATCACCCGGGGAGCATCTGATTGACTTGACCTTGAACGTACCAAAAACAGAACGAGTAAAGTAGGCAATAAAAGCCGCCAACTGTGAATGGACTGGTATAATAATCGTAAAATAACAATTCTACCGAAATCTATAATTTCTTTCATTTCAACATCCGTTTTGACACAGGTTTCATGTTCAGATCTTCCCGGGACGTCTTTACCCTGGTAAAGCAGCGAAACACTGAACAAAATCAACATTTCATAAGGTTGATTTCATTGATTAAGCGAACATAGAAATTGACGTCGCATTATCTAATTATTCAATATAAAGAATGGTAAAATAAACATAAGTAAATATTTACATTTTCAGAAACCTATTTTCATAATCTCACATGCGATTTAAATTGTGGAATCTCGACTGTGTTGATGAAGTCACTTTTGGGCATATAGAAATAAAGGATTAACCATAGGGCGCAGTGAAGCATTTTGTCAACATTTATTAGGCGTATACCGCAATAATGTCAATCACTTATTAGATATTTCAAAAAATATTGAAGTTGAAGTTATTTTAGTTTGATATGTGCCGCAAAATTACCCTTTGCATTCGTTCGACTTCGCTTCTCAAAAGAGAGCTTCGTTTTAGTTTATAAGGACATAAAAAGTAGATTCTTTGTTATGCGTCCCCTTGATTGCAAGATTTTGAGTAAATCAGACAAAACAAACACATTCAAATAGCTAGCAATCACAAGGGTCTGAAAGTACCATCGCATTTCATTCAATCAGAATCAGACGAAATGGAAGATTTGATATGCGTCAAAATTGACATTGATATCGATTACTTTAGCAAACATTGTGTATTTTCTCATTTTTACCCCATGAATAATAGCTATGTTTACATATATTGTATAAAAGGTATAGATATGTGTTTGTAATCACTGCAAATTTGTATGTCATCCCTTTTTATGCCCATAAAATGTATACATTTCCCAGCAAACAAGTTTGCGTTTTTTCTTGAGTTTGTGTTTGTTTTCCTTGT